GGCCCCACGGCTTGGGGCATCGCGGCCCAGCTCCCGCGGCTCCCACGCCACACAGCGAGCGGAAACGCACCAGCTTCCTGTGCCCGTTTTATTGAGACATGCAGGTCACCCTGTCATTTTCTACAGAAAACACAACAGGGGGTTCTTGGCTTCGGCGTAAACGCCCAAGCAGGGCTCTGCAGCTCGGAGCTGCGCAGTCAGGGCCCGCTGGCCGACACTGCGGTGTCCAGCTCGGGCGCGGGGTTCATAGGCGCTGCCTTCGCGCGCGTCTCTGCCCTTCTGCCCAGCACCTTCTCCCCGAAGGGCTTGCACAGGAGCAGGTAGATCAGGGGATCCATGCAGGCGTTGGTGGCCGCGAGCCACAGCGTGCTCTCCTTGGCCACGAAGAGCCGCTTCTGCAGGCGACAGTCCATCCCGCCCCGGGTCTGACTTAGCGTGTAGGGGATCCTACTGAAGTGAAACGGGGCGAAGCACAGGAAAAACACAGTGAAAATGATGAATACCCTCCCCTTTACCTTCCCTTGGCTTTTGTCGTCCTTCCTCTGTGTCCTTGTGTAAGACTCGAACACCTTCTTGGCGATCACGACGTAGAAGAGCAGCATGAGGATGAGGACGGTCCAGAAGATGACCTGGCAGATGTAGGTGACGGCTTCGTGCCACTTCAGCCCCAGGTCGCTCTTCAGCGCGGCGCACTTGCGCACCGACCGCGGCGTCGCCTGCTTGTTTGATAAGATCATGTTGGGCAGAGAGAGGGCGAAGAAGAAGAGCCAGACGAGGCCCGCGAGGATTTTGGCTGAGGTAACGTTTTGCACCCAGAACTTCCCAAACGGTCTCACAATCTTGAGAAACCTGTCAAAAGCAATGAGACCAAGGAGCACGATGCTGATGTACATGGTTTCGTAAAACACCACGGCTGAGAAGCGGCAGACAAACGCTTTGAGCTGCCACGGCCCCAGGCCGGAGTCCGTGAGGATCTTCAGAGGAAGCATCAGGGTCATTATGGAATCGGAGATCACTGTGTTTTTCAGGTAGACGATGAACGTGGATGTGCTGGGAATGTGGAAGAAAGCCCAAAAAGCCAGGCTGTTCAGCGCGAGTCCCAGAAGGCAGACCAGGGTGTAGAGCACGGGGAAGAGCAGCTGGGTGGTCCTGGTGTCCCGGGGGCACGTGGCCAGCGAGGGCGGCCCGCTGGAGGCGCTGCCGATGGTCATGTTTGCCGAGTCCCCCATGGTTGGGAACGGGCTGGGGGAGAGCGGGGGGAAGGCAGGAGATGCACCAGTGTTACGCTAACAGCGACACGTCCTCGCTGTGCCAGCAGGTGCGTGCAAGCAAACAAAACCCTCTCAGTGTGTGTACGTTAAATAGATTGACTGGTTTTCCTGTTATTATAAAATCTAAATCTTTGTCTAGGTTGTTAATAGACCAATGCCCACTAATGAAAAGTTAGTAGTGTATGTTAGTTACAGACACCTAAGATAATATAACAGCAACAGAATGCAGTTCTGCAGCAGCCTAGAGGACAATTTGTCTTTGTATGAATATATATTTTAAAATGTAATGATCCATTGAATAGAAAAATCTATGCTTATGACCCAAAAGCACTGTGCTTCTGGGGTATTTCTTACCAAGCACAGAGTATTTTTTTAGCTTCCTGCAGATTAAATAACATTTTTCAGGATAAGCGCCCCGTCCCCGCGCCCGCAGCCC